TGGTGTATGATGAGTGGTGGTTGAACAGCTGTTGAATGTCCGTAACACGGAAGTTTTGCACACTAAACTTCCTTTGACTAGTAGTAAGAAGTTTCTAGGTTGAGGCCATTGCTATTAGGTTCTTTGTGACGTCATGGGCGCTTTCAAACACCACGAGGTGTTGCTCCATTGAAACTCCAAGAGCTCGGTGTCAAGAAGGAGCGAGGCAGCGAGGTCGTTCGGTGTGGCTGTCAGACTGAACAAGGATTCCTGCTTCTGCGATGTTTCTGGTTAAGATTTCATCTGCAACTTCGGGTTGGGAGATGGGATTGAAGAGCAAGCTAAACAATTAAACTGCTCTACTTGGACCAAGAACTTGAAGGAAACCCAGCGCGCTACCACCCACGTCCGCCGGTCCTACGATTTTTGTGAGGAGCATATGGCTTACATCGCTTCTGGAATGATGCCTGTAGTTTTGCCTGAGTCTAGTCAAGCGCACGGTTGGTCTACATAGGCTCCAAGGCGACACAGGCTGTTGAGCACCACTGGCGACCCAGTTTCAAAGAACGTGTTCGCTTTGCCAAGTCCAAGAGCCATGTCATTTTAAACCTGGCTCTTGGTAGCCGCTAGCCAAGTGGACAACTAGTACTGCACATCCTCAGTGCTTTTTCGGAGATCCTTGATGCTGTTTGATGTTCCATTTCCTCAAGTGAGCTTCTCTAGGTTTGCCTTGAAACATATTAATATTCGCATGACAATTAGCATCTGAGAGTAGATTGTGAGCGGGGAGGGTCCTCTTCTGTTTCATGCATATATATATATATAGTACATATATATATATAACATTTGTAATCAGATGTGGCTGTTATATTACATGGAGGTGGCATGCAAGCGGAAACTCGTGAGGTATATATTCTGCTCCCAGCGGTGATCTCGCGTTGGACATCAAACTCAACTCCCTGGGCTTTGGCAATGCGGTTCTATCCTTGGAGAGTTTTGCTGGTGCGCAAGGGTTGCAGGTCATGCTGCGGTCGCGGCGGAGGGCTGAGATTTCAAACAAGTGTAAATCCTATCTCTGCAGGTTTGTTTGCTTTACTTTAGGATATCAAGTAGATTCAACATATGTCACAATGGTCCAGATGCTTCAACCAGAGACAGTTGCTAGGCTGGTATCCATGTTCGGAGATCCCACAGTAGGTTCTGAAAAGCTCTTTGCTTTACACCAACATTTAAAACTTATATAGATCAAACAATCACATCCAATCACCATACTTTTGCTTGGACAATTTGGACACGAGCATGTTGTGAATCTAGTGACCAAGTCGGCCTGCTTGCCAGCTGCATTCACCTAAGTTGCAATTCCTGAAGGCCCGGCCTGCCTCATCTCGATCCAAGCTCGCATGCCAACAGGTACTCATTGCTGCAGTGCTCGTAAGTTGCACACCCTCTGGTGACATCCACTGGACGTTTCGACCCAAGTGCACTAAGCAGACTAGAAAGAGCGGAACTTGTTCAACTCCAGTGAATTCCTTTGGTGTTTTTGATGAAATGGGAAATGGCGTGATACTTGTCAATGTAGGTCATTGATGATGCTTGTGTACCCCTGCGGTTTTCATTGCCATCCACGAATCCAAGCAGATTCAGGTTCTACTTGGCGGTGGTTGTGGTGTACCTCCTGGGCGCCGCCTCCAGCTCAGGAGGATCAGATTGAGAAAGGCCCTGTATGTGCGACTGTAGGATAGTTCATAACAGTTCCAGTAGTGAGAACCCGGCCTAGGTCTTTGACATTGGTGAAAACATTTGCGCAATGCACCATTGACTAGTTGAACTCCAACACGCGGCATATGCCTGCCCACGATTTGGCTGAGGTGGTGAGTCAGTGCATGTTCGTATCCAACATGGCCTTCTTCGCTCGGATCAGTGATCCTGCCATGGGAGGGACATACATGACTCTGCTGAGCCTTGGCTCTCCAATCAAGAACCAATGAACTCTGATTGAGTCTGGTAGAAATGACCTTGTTGATCTTGTGGGGCTGAGGAACACATTGGCCAATCTTGGAGGTTGGCAGCACTGGGTGAGGGTGCTCTTTTTTGCAGTGCCAGATCGAGTGTCTAAGGAGTATATAGGGCTTTATTTATTCCGCGGCAAGTTATCCTGGGTTTCACTTCACACCCACAAGTTTGCCAGCAACAGATAATCCTGCTTTGAAACACCACTTGCGGTTGTCGCTGATCCCCCGGTGATTTGTTCGGCCCTGAACGATGGTACTTCACCGGGAGGCATGTGGCCAAGTACCGTGACACTGAAGCTCATTGATGCCACCAGCTGCAGCAGTCCGAGCTGCGCGGTGAAAGTCGATGGCTTCTTGGAAAGAGCACGAACATGAGTTGATAGCAGCTCGGGTTGTTCTGGGGTATAGAATGCCTTCTTGGTCTTCTTCTTTTCTAGTACTGTAGGATATAATCAGTCTTGTAGTTAGTTGCATCAATGCTACCAGGGGACGAGTAGATACATGTAGACGCTATAGATATGACAGTAATTGTCTGGTCGTTGTGGTGGTCATAGTGGTTGTAGTGTCTTATTGGTTTTGGTCCTGTTGTAGTGGTGATCATGGTAGTTGTCAGTGATAGCAGCACAAACAGGTTGTTAACACGCAGACCTAAGGCCTTCCAAGACTTGTTTGGCGTGGAAACCGAATTAGGGGATTGGACTGAAATATGTAAGTGCTCGTGAACCAGTCTTCATGACTGGACTTCTGGAAATGCATGCTGCATGCATGTTTATCGATCATCATGATTTAGGGCAAGCTCCAACGATGCTAAGAGAGGGAGCGAGCGAGCGAGCGAGTGAGTGAGAGAAAGACAGAGAGAGAGAGAGAGAGAAAGCGAGAGCTGGGGGCCATGCTGCTGCAGGCTGTAAGACCTTCAGGTTGCACTTCCAATCCAATTGAACAGTGTTGCAAAGCCTTTGGGACTGGTAGCTTTTGGGTGGATAGACAGGAATTTTGTTCTATTTAGACGCATTTGGTGCAACTCAAGGTTGCACATCCCCAGAAGTGTTTCTTTAGCTGATGCAAACAAAGACTGCATATACAGGACCTCCATAGATATACTCGGATAGACAAAGAATTGTCAAGCACAAAGGCGGACACATTTTATAGTTTGGTTTAGGAAGCAAAGGTTATTCAGATCGGTTGGTGGCTTGGACACCTGAAGCAGAGCACTGGAACCGCTGTTCAACCCCCAAGGCTTCTACATCATGTCAGGCCAGGAGGAGTGGTTGCACATTTGCACCAGCTATAGCTGTACCGGACAGCCAGTACTGGAACTTAGTTGTAGATTCTGCAGAGTCCATTGTGCTACCAATTCAGACCATGAGCCAAAAAGACGCATTTTTTGAAGCTCCAGCTGTCATGAAATTCTGGTCACTTGCTCGCTTGCTATCTACTCTTTGTGGGCAAGTGCCTGGGAACAAGGCTCATAGCCGCCAATGAGAACTCATCAACCACCCGCAGGAGCGTTGACATTAACCAAAAGAAAACTTCGGATCCGGCCAATCATGGCAATCCCTGCTGCCACCCATGTACTGGGCACAATGTTGAGAACACGGAAGTCTTGAACTTTGCAACTAGGAGCGCCCTTGGGTCCTTATGGGTCCTTTCTGTTCCAAGCATCAGCCAATTGGGTATGCCTTCCAGGCCTCAGCTTTTTCTACGGGCTCCTTTGGTACATTGCAGCTGCGGGTCCCGCACACCGAGTCCAGATGATCAAACTGAGCGATTGGAGGCTTTGACAAATCGCGTGCGACGACCCACGCAGGGGGTCCTGTTCGGGGTTGAATGATTCGAGATATTTCGATAGTTATTTGGAGTGACCACAGTCACATGAGCCAAGTCTCAGATATTGCTGACCAAAGTCCTGTGCTATTTGCTATCCAGTGCTATCCAGTGTGACTTTTGCGATCAAATCTCAATCACAGCCACAGAATGCTCTTTGAACCCCGCTTGAGACCAATTACAATGGAGTCCTAGGGCCATCTAGGGCCTAGGTGAGTGGGCTGCTTTGGAGTCACAGAGTGTGACTTCAGATCCATGAGGCCCCATCGAAGGGCCTTCCGCATCGGCTGTGCATCGTCCCGTCTTAGGGAGAGCCGAGACGGAGCGAACCATGCTACATACATCTACATACTGTATCGATGTCACGGATCGATACCCTCATTGAGCCTGAGGAGCGTCAATGCTCTATAAGCCACTGAAGAGGACATGGCTTCCTCTAAACCATCTTCACCAAGCAACGCTTCGCTGTAGAACGGCTCTTGACCTGACGCCATGGACAGAGAACTCTTCTGGCCCTTGCTGGAAGGCAGGATGGTAATGGGAGGCTGCTTTAATATGCTTCAAACGATATTTTCAGTCTGCAACATCACCGCAGCCAAGTTGGCACAAGGTGAATGGACCAAGGAACTGAAGGAGCAACACATAGCAACACAGGACAAGGATACGTGCTTCCTCAAACACTCAAAGATCCCATCACCAAGTGATCCGAAGTGGTCTGCCATGGCTCTGGAGATCAAACTTCCAAGCAGGGGGCCAGAGGCGAGTGGCCGAAGCTGTGGTGAAAGACAAACTGACTCCACGCACACCTTTATGGCAACGTAGCCTCGGGATACCAAAGTGCAATGGTCCCGGTCCAGGTGTCCAAACAATTTGAGTTGGTCGATCTCAGCAAACAGAGTCCGTGAAGACCTGGATTCATTGGAGTTCTTCATGAGGTTTCCGAATGTGCCTAGCTTTCTCAGCTCTAACCAGCCAAGTCCAGAGTTGCTGTCGAGGTGCCTAGCAAAGGAGAAATTGACTCTGTCGGGGAGCCCGGGTGCATTTGCTGGTGTACCTGTACCTCCGATTCTGGAGCCTAGACAATCCTAGACATCTCAAGTAACCGACCATACCCTACCTAGGTCTTTTGTTGATGAGGTTCTCACTTTCTTAAGCCTGTGAAACAACCTGGAAGCTATGTCGCATTTGTTTTGTACTGACTATTGAATGCCACTTGCATGAGCATGGCCTTCTGCAGGCTTAGTCTTGAACAGCTTGATTCAGCACACAAGATGCCTTTGGCTGCTCAAGTCTTTCTGTTTTTCCAACAAGTATTTTCCTTCCGGCGATATCAGGGTCGTTTTCGCTTCATTGTGCCTTCCTGGAACGTGGTGGTCGTTCTGCTTCTATCAGGAGATCGACGTGAAAGCACTGGAACGGCTGCTCACTGCTCAGGGCTCAGGGTCTGGAAATGACCAGAAGGTGCTCAGGGTTTGCTTCCAGGAAGGGATATGTATATATATATATAGATCTCTTGAATGGACATGGTATCTTCGACAGCGGCGCCTCGTCACAGGATCCACCCCAACTTCACCAGGTTTGAATGACATGAACGAAGGAGAAATCTGTGGGACCTCCAAACTAAGCCTCCATAGCCACAAACAGTTATGTTTGGAGTGGTCCGAGTGTGCTGTCAGTCACTGAGATTGAGGACTACCTCTTCTCCAAGAGCATCGGCACCCTCAATCCACCCAAATTTGGCGAGGTGCTTGGGGCCAAACGATTGAGGCGTGGCAGGCACTTTCAAAAGGATTCAGATTACATTACAGGTGAGACATGACTCGACCATATTTTTTATCCTTTTTTTTGCATATTATTTCTTGTAGCTTTTCTGATCTTTTCTGCTTCGGTTCATTCTGGTAGAGAGGTATGGAGTACCTTTGCTATTGCTGGCGTTGCTTGCAAGATGCCGTTGAGTCTTGAGAAAGGAGGCGTTTCCATTTCCGTGATTTCCACTTCGGTGGCTGAAGTTCTTCAGGGGTGAGCATCTTTGCGTGCTCTACTCGGTGCAATGTGGGCCAGAGAGGTGCTCTGGGACCGGACAATTTCAGTTGTCAGAGATGTAGTGGGTAGACTCGTAGACACATGATTTCAGACATCGAATGTCGGCGATCCCAGACATCGACGCCACGTCGATTTAACAGAAAAACACATGTGAGGCCCTATGAAGAGATTGGGGAGGAAGACGAGGTTTTCGAGGCCAGGCACACGCACACATGGACACTGGTGCGAAATGGCAGACACAAAAAACGTTCAAAGCGGGTCCAATCGAATGTTGGTGTCGAAGTATGTCGAATGCATCTTGGAAAAGCACCCGGAGGAGGTGGCCTATGTGACGGACTATAGCAGCATCTCAGACGCGCCGCCGAGGGAGAGCAAGGAGAGTGAAGCCAAATTGACATAAAACAGGAGCGAGCCGCGGTGTTGCAAGTCTGAGCCATGGTGATCCGAATTGGTCAGTGTGGTTCATCGGAAATGAACGTTATCAATGGAGGCCATCGCTATTAGGTTGAACGCCATCGCTAATAGAAACAAAGAAAAAGGAAAAGGAAGACAGTCTAATGTAGTTTGCTATTAGGTTGAGATGATGAGTTGACGGGACCACCTGTTCGAAGGGTCCTTCGCTGGTCGAACCCCCTCGGGGACCGTCCTGGCAGGTGGCTGTCTTGAAGGAGTGCCCCGCACGGGAGTATGGGGAGCGCCGGCGTCTTCAGCGTGGAGTGTTCGGGGCTGGAGCCTGTGTGACCAAATTGACGTTTGCTTAAAACATCACGGGACGAAATGCATGTTTTGCAGATTCTTGATGATTTTTGCATCTTTCTCTATCTTGTTGCTTCCTCGGTGAGTTCTCACACCTGCTTCGCAATTGTGGCGTAGTCTAATTTGGCGTTCAGTGCACCCACAACAGCTTCAGAACCCATACTGTAGATTGAGCAAGTTGGGTGATTTGGCTTGATGGATCAGACAATTCAATGATCACAATCAGAAAAGGTGCCCAATCCTGAAAGTCCTGAACCACTGACGGATCTTGCATGGATTGATGTGAGACATTTGTGGGAATGGACAGAAGGCTTTGGTGGTTGTATACAGCGCTAGGTTAAAGGACTTCTCCAGTGATTTGTTCTCACAACTTCGAACATCTTGGCATTCAGTGCAGACAAGGTTTGATGGAGAATACGATTCAGTGACCAGTTTCAATCCTGAAACAAAAGCAGCGCCCAATTCCTCCTAAACCTGGTGACCTTTACGGGTTTTCCATGTGCACACTGTACATGTATGGTACATGTGGGAGCTCGTTCTAATACAAGCAATGCCATACTGTGCGTAGTTCATCGCCCATGCCGACGCCAAGCAATGGATCGCTGCCAAAGGATGCACACAGCCATTTGAAGGCACCCGCGACCAAACTAATACATGTCTTTCTGGGGTTAGAAAGACGTGTTTGTTGAGATAGACCTGGTTGGTAGAAGAGCTTTTGGATCATACAAACTTGCGCTCCCCTGGAGGCTGCCATTAAGACATGAATTCAAAGATTGGAACCCCGGAAGTGGAGACAGCTTCCAAGTGACTGAACAAGTCATGGACAGAGTGTCCGGCAGTTTGCAAGTGGATGACCTCTATTGCTAAATACAGTTTTTGGCCAGGATATTGTAGATATGATATGACAGGCAAGCAATGTTAAACTTGATGTAAATCCTGGGCACGAGCCAGGCTGAAGACTTAGTCGGCTGCACATGACGTATCTCATATAGTACATACACATTTAACGCATATATGGCATAATCGATATATGTATAATATATAGTGTATAGAACATGTAAAAATAACGTATAATATATATAACATTATATAACAAAAAACACATATAATAATATAATACAATATATGAGGTTATATATATATATATGTATTTGTGTTTGAAAGAGGTGCAGACAGAAGAGTATAAGAGTCACCGGTGTACCTGGCCAGAAGTACCTAGACTCTAACCCTGAGGCCGCAAACCTATTGGAACTTCCCTTGCCGATAGCACTCCCCATATGATCCGACATGTCTGGGCTTGGGGCACCGCAATCGTGCCGCAAACTGCCAGTCTGATGCAGCAGCGGCCCATGTACTGGTACAATGCTTGCTGGGCCAAGGCGTTTCGCTGGAAGGCACTTCTGGTGCTGTTTGTTGCAAGGTTTTGTTTTCAACAACGGGTGCTTTGGTAATGAATGTTCCCACCATGTATATCCCGTTCTGCATGACCAGGAATGAATGCGTTGAATACAGGCATGTTTCACATCTGACAGGTTGGAAGCCTTCTAAAGCAGTCTCAGATGCTATCACCGTGCTGGCAGAGGACCGCAAAATCGAACCCCAAGATTGCTCTCCCGAGATCGATGTGAAGATTCTGGGGGGAACTTTCACAGTACATGATTTTCCACCGATCCAAACAGATCCTTGCCAGAGCTTTCACCGACTTGAGAGTTGCTTTGCTCAAACTTGGGATTTCAGCAACTTCTTCGGGATCACCGCCGATCCTTCCTTTGTATATGACCAACCCCCAGGAGGCTCGCCGGCAGCTACCGGACGTGGCGGTGGGCTTATGGCCAGGCGCCAGCGAGGCAGAGGCCTATGATGAGATGCGAGATGCAAAGGGTTGCCTGGCAACGGCGGGGGAGGTTTCTAAGTTGATAACTTTGGCTTTTGATTTTGGGTGCTGGTCTATCGTAAAGGTAGCCCAGCATTTGCAGGAGGTGGATGACGGATCAACACAGTGCCTTCCTTGTGAGGCCAATCGAAACTATACTATAGAAAGAACAGTCTGCTCACAAGCTATGTTGCTGGTTTCTAATGTTTGTGTGTGTGTGCCCCTTGTAGTCACAGGGATCCAGTCGGATTGTGCTAATTTTTTCGTTTCTTTGGGAGGGTGCAGAGCACAGTGGAGACTATGAGTTGGGAGGATATCGGAGCTGATCACTCCGACGTACCTGTGCATTTTGTGGTGTTCTCAAGCTGTTACTCCAATTTCCATTAAAGGGCTAATGCATTCTGCAGATGTGCATGATGAACTTTTTGGAGGCTTCTTTGAGGCCTCACGAAGGATACCAGATGCTTTAACTCACCTGGAACCTTAGGTTTTCACTTAGGCCGGCGTGTGGCAAAGCTCATTCAGGTCCGTACGCATTTCTATAAGTGTGTCTGGCTTCATGCCAGCCCAGGGTGACCCCGTAGAGTGGCCCCTGTAGACCCGTTGAACGGGGGTTTGTCTTCGTCCCTGCGCCCGGGACCAGAGTAGTCCATAGCGGACAAAGTAGGCTCAGGCCAAAGTCATTTGCCAAGATTTGCCGAATTATTGAATTCCAAGTAGGCAGTCTTCGGACAAGCCATGAGGTGACCACAGCGGTCAGCAGTAGGCAGCGTTCGGGCACGCCACCACGTGGTCGCAGCGACCAAAGCTTGTTCAAGGCTCAGTGGAACCTGTCGTAACCTTGGGTGCACATACAGCATGTACATTCAAGCGAGGCAGGTTTTCCTAGGTCGTTGGGATGAGGTTTGGTTTCATCGGTTCCCGTCCCCTCCATCTGGTTTCCCCTTTTCATCCTTTTCCCTTGACACACTTCTTTTTGTCTTCTTTCCTTTCATGTCTTCGCTTGCTTCATGTCCTGTCATCTCATCTCTTTCCTTCTTTTGCGTACACACGGCTCGACCCTTAGTATGTACACGCACAACCTACTTTCAACTCAGGCTTCAGGTCGCCCAGGTCCTTACAATGAGGTGGGTCGTCATCGGTTGTTCCTGTGCACTTGGTTCCTTTTCATTGCAACCACACACACACACCTTTGTCCTGTCTTGTCTCCTCTTCCTGTCTCCATTCTTTTGTTTTACTGTGCACACGCTCACACTTTTGCCCTGCTTCTCGCCTATGCTTGGGGAGGCGCGTGTGTGTGTGTGTATCCCTTGGAATCACAGGGATCCTTTAGGATTGTTTTTGAAGGTTGTTACAGTTGCAGGGGGCAGTAGCCCATCATGAGTCTACTGCCAACGAAGCTGCTCATGAGTTGGGAGGATATCGGAGATGATCACTCCGACGTACCTGCGCATTTTGTGGTGTTCTCAAGCTGTTACTCCAATTTCCATTAAAGGGCTAATGCATTCTGCAGATGTGCGCGACCGCCGTCATCCTGTCGATTCCGCTCGCTCTTCGGGTTGATGAACTTTTTGGAGGCTTCTTTGAGGCCCCACGGAGGATACCTGATGCTTTAACTCACCTGGAACCTTAGGCGTTCACTTAGGCCGGCGTGTGGCAAACCGTACGCATTTCTATAAGTGTGTGTGTGTGTGCGGAGATGATATCGGGAGCTTTCATTCATGTGCAACATCGAGGGAATTGGGTGTGGGATTCAGGGTCGTTTTGGGGGATATGATCCGGGAAAGGGGTTCCTCCTCCCTAGTTTGGTGTGGATCAACAAATCCTCGGTTTAGAGACTTGAGGAACACAATGTGCTGTTTTTTGTGCCCGTGACCATGAACTGCGATGAACTGCGTTTTTTTAGATCTTTCTTGCGCCTGCAAAACACTCCAAAAACCAGCACGGATGAATAACCTGGGCATTTGCAGTGAGTGGGTTGTTTTCTGGATAGAATATATTTTATGTGTTGATGCCTGGCATCAAAACGCGTAAACATCATAGCCATATTGCCTCTTGCCCTTTTCTCGGAGAGCCCAAAACACGGCGGCAACGACAACACCCTGCTCTGATGTCCATTGAAATACACGTACGGACATACGGTATATATAAATATGTTGTACAGCAGTATGTCCACTCCTTCCAAAGCCCTTTGCAACGTCAGAATGCCACCAAATATAGATGTTTGAAACGGAATCATGCAGCAGCCTGTGAAATGGGACCAGGCAAGTGTCTTGAATGCACGCCATTTTGGGTTGTTTTTTCACATAGCCACCACTCGAGACTGCAAGTTGTTGCTGGGCCAAGTTGTTGCAGATTGAACAGAAAGCATCCGCGTTGGACCCTGCCTTCCTCTCATGCACTCAATGGTTGCTTTCCAGCTGAACTGCCGTCCTAGGTCGCTGCCGGCCTGCCTACGTCGGAGTGGTGGCCCAGGTGGAGCAAATCTTGAAAAGCAAGCCGAAGCGCATCAATGACTTCAAAGAAGAGTCTGAGACACTCCGCAAAAGGCAAGCTTTTATGATGGGGTATGAGAGTGGATGACAAGTACGTCGAAAAGTGTGCTGATGCTTGTGTGTTTTGGCAGTTTTTCAGAATTTTGTACTGCTGGCACCCACACAGACTAGTCATATCTTGTCATGTTTGTTTGCGAAAGCTTTTCTGACGTCGCCACACACCCCCTCACGATGTCTTGGATGGTTTTACGCGAAGGCTGCCCATCAGCAATAAAAGAGCAGCTGTTCAGGGACATTTTGATGCGCAGCCATTGCTTTTCATGCACTGCTGCGCAATGTTGCACATTCTCCCGTCTGGGAAGAGGGTGTCCCATCTGACCTTTTCCTCGCCCCAGTGGCGCCGTCGCGCCCAGGAAGTGCTTCAAGGGAGACAATCGTTTGTATCACATTCCGAGGGTCCTCACTCGCCAGGAGGTGGGACCATCGATGAGAGCACGAGTCGACGGGCGAAACGTGCAGTATTCTTTGGTGGCCGAGCGGACTGGTGTGTAGATCTGGTAAAAGCATGCAGACAGTCTTTTTGACTTGGAGATTCAGTTCTTTGAAACGACACAGGCAGACACAATCATTGCTGGGGTGGCGCAGCGCGCGCAAGCACTGCGCCGACTGGTGATGGACGTGAACTCCCGGAAGGTACAATGACTTGGAGAGTGCATGGAGGGTGTTTGTGGATTTATGTATTCCACATTCCAGACAGATTAGCATGTACCTTGATAGATGTGAACAATACAATACTTGATGTATCTTGATGTCAAGAAAGAAGACCCAGCAGACATTCGGAATGCGCATAGGCACAGGATGGCACAGGCAACGTATAAGCTCATGTATGTCAGGGACGAACACACACACACACACTCACAATCGCAATAACATATTATTACAGTTGTTATTACAATTAAACTACAAGACGCATCTACCTTGATTCTTCTTGTCAGTTTCATCCATGCTTTTTTCTCCGAAGGAGATGAAAGTGGGTCAATTGAGCTGTGTGCGCAGCGGCGCGCTGCCACGGGAAGTCTTCACGCGCATCGCAGCCCGCGCGGGTGAACAGTGGGCCCAAAACCTGGTGCAGAAGGAGGGGCGATGAAGTCGGCTGTTGTGCGAAAGATTTGGCGCTAAACGGTGCAAACTGCAGGAAGCTGAGTCCAAGAAGCTGTACTGGAACATTTGGTATGGAACTTTGGCATTGAAGAGTGTACAAAGTGATCCCAGAGAAACATGAACATGTGCTATTTTCCTTTCAACTGGATTGACATTTTCTGGAACTAATGCAAACCTTGGAATCGTGGCCCTATGGCAATTGACATGCACTTTTGTTTGCCATTTTGGTGGTTGTCTTGAAGATTTCCAGATTGTACACGTCAAAACATGCTTTCCTACATCCAAGGACCTGACATCATTCGGGGACCTTCTGAAAATGGCCATGATTTCTATGTCG